ATTTTTTTAACAGGATATTATAACAAAATTCAGAATTACAAGTTCGAGGAATGTGTGTCAGTGTAAAGAGAATTAAATAAACTACGTTGTAATTCAGGTGAAAAACTTTTTTTTACATAATTTTTTTACTAAAAATGATTGATCGTAATTGAAAAGCTGAAAATATAATCACTCAAAATTTGTTGATCGCCACTGCTAACCAGAGGCCATAATTCCTAAGACCTACTAATAACATATGTATGCCTCTATGCCTGGTTTAATGAAAATCATAGATCACATGAAATATGTTTTTCTTGAAAATGCTGCATAATGCTTCATTGAAAAAGCTGCATAGGAACATTATGTAGAAAATAATTGAAATAATGACTAGTCAAGTGAATTTACTCAATCAATAGGCTGTTTCAATACTGATAAAGTGATGGCTTACTTTATTTCACTCTGTACAAGAAATGGGTATTCAGCTAGTTCATGATAAATAGCTACAGAACTTCTTTTTTTTTCTTCCTATGAATATTTTTACAGTTTTTTCAAAGTGTGAATACACATGAGTTAGAATGAACTAATTATTTTCATTTTATTCCAGAAAAGCATAAAAAATCTATTAGTTTAAATGTTGTATAATTTTCTAGTTAAATATAAAGCAAACTGTCATTAAGTGTGTATTTTTTGTTTTTTTCACTTATATTTCTCCCTTGTATTAACACTTATATTAACATTTTTTCTGATTTTGTGACTAAAAATTGTTTTATTATTTTTAATTGTACCTAATAAATATATATATTTATGTTTGTACTAATTGTTGTTTGTTTGTACTAATTGTTGTTTGTTTGTACTAATTGTTGTTTGTTTGTACTTATTTATGTTTGTTTCTAATAAATATGTATATTTATGCTGTAAAAGTACTTTAAACATTCTAACAATTATTTATGTCATCATTCCTTTACATATAATAAAATAGGGTGATTTGAAACTCTTAAGTTTAAAAGTTAAATTACTAATTACAAAATATAAAAAATTTATGCTTTTATCAGCTTTTTTTTCTGATTCTGTCAATTCTGTTTTGAAACTGATCCAATGTTATAATTTGGATTTATTCCACTTTTATTAATATTGTGCAGTTGATAAAACAAAATGCTGCAAATTATAAAAATGAAATAGAACATTTTGATTTCAATAATATAAAGATTAAAATAATAATAACTCAACGTAAAGATTTCAAAAAATCTTTAGAAGAGAAAATTTTCTTATAAAGTAATAAAAGGAATGTGAAGATAAGCTAAAATTTTGTTTATGCTCAAAACTACACTTTCTACATTGACATAATTATTCATTTAATATATTTAGTTATATTATTATATATTAGCATATGTTTATTCATTAGTGTATAACTGTATTTTAATAAATATTATAAATATATTACTGAAACTTACATTGTAACTATCATCATTAGTTCTTAACAATTTTAAACAGTTTTTGACAGTTTATGATACTGGATTGTTAAAGACCAAACCCTCCTTGCTCTTTTAAGTAAAAAATCAAGAATACTTATCTGTTTTTAGCAATCATTTTAACCTTTATTAACTATATTCAATAAAAGGAATGTATTAACATTTTTTATTTGGTTTTTATTACTATGTATTAAAAGAAAAATAAATGAAAATATATTAGAAAACAAATGAAATATTTGTGGAATATACAGCTTTCATAATGCCTGAAACAATTTTAAAGCTGTTACACTTACATCATTATACTACTATTAAGCCTTAACTTGCCAGATCCCTTTGCCAATATACTGGCTTTAGCAGGAGTGCCTGTATCGTAATAAAAATGTTTATTGAAGGAAAAATAACAATCATGGTAGCAGAATTTATTTTAAATAAACTTGCAGTCAAGAATTAACAAGATTTTATGTATGCTGTAGGCTGTATACATCTTGTAGGTTTTTCTTTCTTTCTATTTTTGAACTTACCAAAAGATTTCAATAAACCTAATTAATTGTCACCTTATATTTTAATAAAAAAATTTAAAAAAATTTTTTTTTGCACTAACTCTATAGTCAAACCCTTCTGTACACTAATTTTCAGCTTATATTTTTGTAAAAATTGAGAAACTGCACATACCTATTTTTTTCCTCCCTTCCACATTTAAATAGATTTCTAACACAATAGCGAAACACTTCAGTGCACTAATTGTCAACTTGTATTTCTGTAAAGAGTGAAAAACCATATTTTCTAATTATTTCTTTTAGGGACATTCTCTCAAAAGGGATAATTTGTTTTTAAAATATGTGCTGTTCTACAAAGTTCTTCATTTTAGTTACAAATTCACCATATGCTTTAAAATTTAAAACCCAGCTAAAGCAAAATTAAAATAATTTTATCCTAAATCCTTATATTTAAGTAGGGTAACATTTTCTGTGCCTGATTGATTGAGAGCTAAAGTTTACTAAAAAGAAACTAAATAAATATTTACCTCATAGTCATTAACTTCATCTAGTGGAATCTCAAAAAAGTGTGATAGCTTTACTTGGCATTTCATTAAAAGATCTGAGCTAGCTGATAAATAATTTATGCAACTTTGGCATAGTTGTGTCTCTTGGTTGGGGAGAGGGCGGCTAAAAAAATTAAGCATAATGTATTAAATACTGCTGTCATTTCAACAAAGAAACTCCTTCAACTGATACTGTCTTTCGAATCTAAATTAAATGGGCCAATCATGTCAATAGAAATAAAATTAGATGCTTCACAAAAAAAAAATTAAAATAACAAAGCAAAATTGAAGTGCAACTGAAAATCTTCAATGGAGGAAAGCAGGATTTGGGAAAAATTTCATCCCAATTTTGCCTAATCAAGGTTGCTGCTCCACTGGGAAAATACAGGAAAATAATCTAAAATAACAGGGAATTTTGTATTTTTCCTTATAAACTGGAAAAATGCAGGGAATATTTATTTCCTATTTTCTTCTTTTACAAAATGTTGACCTCTTAAAGTGTAATCTATGGGATATTAGATAGTTCAGTCATACTATACTATTTCATTTGCTATATTATTATTTTTTTATGTATGTTGAACTGTTTCTTATTTGCTTCTTAAGTTTTTCCTGCAATTAAAACTAGTATTAGTTATCCTAATATAGCGCACACATTTGCATAGTGAGTCTATGTTTCATCTTAATATATTGTGTATAATGCAAGAAAAATACAGGGAACTTTTTTTCTAGATTTGAGTTGCAATCCTGCTAAGTTCAAAGCTGCTTATTGCAACTCACGAACTATGTTAGGTGTAGGAAATCTTAACTTGACCAACTGTGATTAATAGTGGTACCAATTATTACATAGAAATTACTTTTTTACTTGTTTTTTTTTAGTTAAAGTTCTTTTCCATTATTATAAATGAGTATCATTTTTAATTAGGCACGCAGGCCAAAAATGAGAGGTAAAAGATAGGAAGTTTCCTCAATGACACAGATTCTGTCGCAGTTTCTGGATCTGAAGATGGTTGTGGATGGATGGCACACTTTGATTAAGATACTGCAGGCAAGTTTGTTTTCTATTATTGTTTTCACAGTTTACAGGCTATAAATGATTGTGTTGGTGTCAAAAGATGCCACTAATCTTTTTCAGGTTTTTATCAGTAACTTAATTGGCTTTTTGATTTTTATTCTTCATTATAGTCTTAGAGAAAGTCTTTCTGCATTGATAAGCATCATTAATTTAATATATATGTGTTAATTTAACTAAATTTAAAAAGAAAATAATAATTTTAAACTGTTTATAACAAGGCTCACTCACTGAGAAAATAGTATTTAAAATATATATTTATAAATAATCTTCCTCAATTTTGTAGAATTGTAATTCTAAAAATATTATTTATTGTATCTTGTTTTAACAACAGTTTCAATTTTAGTATGAATTAGTATCAAAAGTTTTTATGAAAATACTTTCATCATGGTTGCCACAGCATCTGGAAAACCTGTAGAATACAGGGAATTAAAAAAGTCATAAAAAACTGGAAAACTGCAGAGAATTTCCAAAAATTTTAAACATCAGCAAAATTAAAGTATGTAATCATAGTGTGTAATCACTATAAAAGATAAATCAGCCATGTCAGCTGTCCAACTACAGAAGCTCCTCAATCTATGTCTATTTTAATTCTTCAATTTATGTCAATTTTTTTTCTTCTCAGTCAAAAGTTATATTTAATTTAATTTTTAAGGTGATTTTGCATTATCGCACTTCATGCTTTTTTTAGTGCTGGTCCGATGGAAAACCTAAAATTAGGGTTCCACTCTGTGTGTGTGTAAATATGTATATAAAAGTCATAATTCATATCTAACCTGTGCATATTTTTATTATGTGTTCTATATATCAACCAAGATTTTAATTTACAGTCATTAATTTCTTTGTATTATGCTGTGTTTTTCAATCAAAACATTTTTGAATTTAGGGCACTAATTTTTCTAAGAATTTTTAAATTTATTTTTGACTGTTAACTTTAGATTAGTTCTGGAACTGGACACAAATGTTAAACTACCCCTTTTCAGTGCATGATTAAAGAAACCTATTGTTTTATCTAGTTGTTTAGTTTAGTTAAAGTTTGTAAATCAGGATTTATCTGGTTCTTGCACCTCAGTTGATCACAATCTTTATTAGTCATTCAAGATTTATTCTGGATGCATTTTATGTGAAATTAATTAAATAATATTATTGATAATAAGTTTCTACCTAGACCATTTTAAATATTTAATCATTTTTTACAAATGACACTCTTCGGCATTTAAATTAGAAATCAAATTTAAAAAAATATTGCTTGTAAAAAGTGAAATAATTACTTTTAATTTTTGTGAAAAAATTATTTTTTTTACATTATTTTTAAATGTTGTAATTCTATATCTGATATTCATAAGGGTCCCATTGTGCTTATGTATTCATTTAATGTGATCAGCCATTTGCATTTTGTAAATTTAGGAGATTATGTTTAACTTTTGTAAATTTATTTTATAGGGGACTCAAACAGGGATGTTATAGGCTCTCAGTCATTGAATGGTAAATATCTGCATTTTTAGGTATTATTTTAAGGTATTGTTGTCTTAATAAAAACTATTTTAAATTTAAAGTATTTTTTAGAGAGATTTCGATAAAGTTTTCATATTTTGTTTGAAATAACATAAATAAAGTTTACTTTTTATTTTTTCTTTGAAAATATAATGCTTAATTTTGTTATTCTAGATTTTGTTATTTCCTGTGTTTGTTTATTTAATAGTTGCAATCCAAATATTTATTTTTAATTTAAATTCAGCTTGATTCTATTGCATGAAATTATAATACTTTGTAGATTTTATTGTTATAATTATTTTGCAGTTTTGTTCGTTATAGTTATTTTTGAAGTTGAATTTTTCCTGGACTCTTAAGGCAAAAGTTTTCTATAAAATATTTTATGTTTTAAATATGTTGGCAGTGAAAAATAAAAACAGTCACTTTGAATTTTTGTTCATACCTGGTTTTATTTATTGCTTTTGTGTGTTTCAGTAATACTGAACATTTTTGAACCAAGGGGCTATATTTTTACCCCTTGTTATATTCCATGTCTAAAGTAAAAGTTCATAAAAAAATTTTTCAAGGCTGTAATTTTTTGATGAAAGAAAACATTTACAATATAGCATTAGAATTGCATGTAGGAAAAGGTTTTGAGTAAAAGAATGTCAATTTAAACTGTTTAGAGCATAATATCAATTTTAACTGTAAACAAAATTTTCTATTTTGATCATTTGTTGACTGTTATTTTTTAATGGAATTAAAAATACAGCTTTTATATATTTTTACTTGCATACCAAAGCTCTTAATTTTAAAATTAGACCTTTCTGAACCAGAGTGGAGGGATAATAAAAACTTTTAAAACCCTGAACTTAAAATATGGTATTCAATTTATATATAGTTAAATAGTTTTTTTTATTATATTTCGTATGATTTTAAATTTTGTTATTTTTTAAGACATTGCATTACGCCTAAAATTTTACACTTTTTATTATTTTTGAAATTTTATTGAATTTTAAAAAATATGATACATTATATAATTTTTTTTAAACATGATTTTTAAAATTATTTTATAGTTGTTTAATATTAATATATGAAATAACATGAAAAAGTGTGACTTATAATTTACTAGGTTATGGTCTTTCAAAATATTTTCAACTAGTCAACAACTTTTGCTTTGAATTTAAGCAGCACAATCCCCATTAGATAGATATTGTAACTTAGTAGAAATTTTTCATTCTGATGCCTTTCATTTTTTAGTTACAAATGGAATGTTGTATGTTAATATCAGCATGATATTATTTGTTTCCAAGGCTAATTGCATCTGGGGGCAAGAATAATTGTCCTTATCCCGTCACTACTGAGGGACTACAAATGGAATTGCTACTTAAAGTTTTATATTTATAGTTAAAAAAACACACAGAATTTCGTAAAAAATTGCTTAAATTTTTTTTTAAAAGGCAGAAAGAAAAAAAAAAACTTTTCATAATAGGTTAGTTTTATATCGACTGATATAGGTTTTTGCTAAGTTTTCTTATTTTTTAAACTTTTTTTTCATTGATAAATACTTTTTTTTAATTATCTGAAATGCTTCCTTCTCTCCTCCCTTAATTCTTCTTTTATAAGCAATAATGAGATTATTTTTTTTAATTTATTTAAAAAAAGAAGTTCAAATTAGCTAGAAATATTGAAAGTTTACTTGAATTGACATATAAAAATGTAGAGAAAGTGGCAAATCGAGATAAAGCTCTGTGACTAATGTTACAGATTACTGACAGATAATGTACAGATATTAAAATTTTGATTATTATTACTGCAAAATTTTTTTGATTTCATATCTTAAGTAAATAAAAGCTAAGAGATTCGTTAATGAAGGGTTGCTGTTAAATGTTTTTCTTCTAATTATGTTGTCCTTTGCATCATGGAATTGCCCATTAGTTAGTAATTACTAACAATGAAAGAATAAAGTTAGATGGGTACTCTAATAAAACAATTATAAATTTATATGCTGTACATTACTGGATATTAATATGTCACAAATGAAAATGCATAAAGTACCTTTTTGATTAATGTTATAACAGGAAGCTTAAAAGAGTATAAAAATTAGACCCTTTGTGTTTTGAAGAAACCCAAAATGTTTTTTTTTTTTTATTAAGAGGGGGTTTACAAAACTTATGTTTAGTTTTGTCTGTAACTTAAATAAACTTCCATTGTGTTTTAAAGAAATCAATAAATAGGAATATGTTTAATTTCTTCAAATAAATGGAATTCAATGCCATATATGATTTTATATTTAAATGCATATTATACATCTTAAATTTTCTTTTTTACATAACATTAAATCTGAGCTTATCTCACAGTATGTTAGATTAACTTTATAATAGATAAAGCACAAAAATATTTCCCCCATATTTTTATAAGTATTCATTTGAGTGTCATTTTACTCATTAGTTATAAGTAAAATGTGTTATGGATTGTGCAAATGTGATATAATCAAAACATTTTCTTTTCTTTGTCAGAATGTCCACCATTTAAAAACAGAGTGTATGCTTGTCATTGATCACAAATAATTAAAAGTTATGGTCTGGGAAAAGTCTAAAATACAGCATAATTTGAGAATTTTTTAAGGCTTTATTGAAGCATTTTAAATTATTTTAACTATTTTTAAGTGTAAACAGATTGAGATTGAAATATGCTACTTTTTTACTATTTTCTCTCTGTATTTGAAACGTAACTGATATGAAATGTAATTGTTTTTATATTGTCACACAAATGTAATATTTTCTTGATTGTTTTATTTTATTTTTCTTAAATTTTTCAGAAATGCAGGAAGAAATGGCCCCTGCCATTAGTGGTTACTGATTGAAGCAAACACAAAAAAGAAAATTCCCTGCTTGGGTTACCAACATAGTAGTTGGGATTGAAGAAGAAATTTACGTCTTCCGAGAGAAGACGGGAATTTGTAACAACACTTTGTATCGAAAATAATTGAAAAATGATTGAACACCTTATTTTAAAATCTTGCTACAGACTTCTCTCTTTTCAACCATTTCTGTGTTTAAATATTTTATTGTTTGCTACCCCATTTTTAATTCGGTGCTTTCCAAAAACACTTTTTCATCAAACTTCTTAAAAAATTTAATACAAATAACTAACTTATCCAAACATAAGATTTCTTTCTTCTATATGAGTCATTCGATTGCAAAACTTGTTTAAATTATATTGAATTTTTCTGCTAAATTTTATATGTAGAAAAAATTACATTTTTTAAGTAATTTATCCAGCTGACTACTTGAAATTTGTATGAAAGTTTATAATAAAAGTTAAAATTTCATTTTGACGGTAAAAAAGGAGGAAGAAAAAAACCTCTTCTGATTTCAATTCAAGTAGAAATAAATGAAAACGTTGAAGAGGAATAACTAGTTTTGCTTTTGAATTATGCATTCAACATTACCCATTTATTATTCACCCATATCAGTTTAAATATTAAAGCTATTTTAAGAAATGTATTAAGATTTTATAAATATTTTAATAATTAAATTAATTCTTATTTGATTTGAATTTAATGTTGTAACTCAGAAAATTTTCTCTGTAACTGGTGAAAAATGGCTTTGAGACTATTTCTGGATGTTGGCATTCTTCTAAATTTCAAGTTATAATGCAATAAAAGGGCATATACATATGTCCAGTATAGAATTGTTTTTTCTTTTTCATATACTAGACTTAAATTTTTGGAGAAGTAAGTTTTTTACAAATTTTGGTATTATATATTTCACACTTATATAAGTTCAAAATGAAGAGAAGACATGGAAAAAATTACAGAATAATGAAAAAAGAAAATTATTAAAAGAAATTAATAGAAATCTGGAAAATATATATATATATATATAATCTTTTCATCACTGCACACAATTATATCTGGTTGATTTGTATTGTATTTTGATCTTATTTTATGTTGTATTTTGATCTTATTTTATGAGTTCTATATGCTTGCAGCTTATGCACAGTATTGAAACGTATTGATTTTCTTAATTTCCTTTGTTTTTCTCTCTTTTTTTGTTGTTGTCCATTTTGTATTTACCTATTATGCTTTATATATATATAGAGAGAGAGAGACAAAAAAAAAACTACCAAGAATAATTAAATATATTTTAAAAATTATTTAAAAAAAAATTCAATAGCAAGAAAACAAATTAAGTGATATGAACTACCCGTCAGCACATAGGAATATGTCCATAAATTAGAGTGCTTTTTATATTATATTAATATAGCCAAAACAAGATATGTTTTAATGTATTTTGCTATATTAATACGATATTAAAAAGTACTCTAATTTATGGATATAATCATGTGAGCTGACAGGGAGTTTATACGACTTAAATATTTTGTTTTCTTGATTTTTAATTTTTTTTAAATTATTAAAACAAAGTTAAAAGAATTTTTAAAATAAATATAATTATTTTTGGCAGTTTTTCTACTCTTTTAATTTGTTTTTCTTTCCTTGTTCTCTTTGTATTTTTATCACATTATATGACTTCTATGTACTTACAGCTATTAGATTTTCTTATTTAAGCATCAATAAAACTAGGTTTGTTTCGGTCACATAATTGTTAATATCACCATTCTGAACATTATTAAGATTACATTTGACTTCACATGTTTTTATCATATAAAATATACTATTCTCTTCTATTTAATTAAAATTAGTTTTGTATTTTGAAGTACTTAATTATCTTAGCTAACTGCATTGAAGAAGTATGAAAATATTATAAACTAGTATCAAATAATACAGATCAAACCTTCTGAACAGGATTGCTTGTAATACTTTAAGGAAGAATTGTATTTAATTTTTGTATATAATTAACTATTGAACATTTTATAATCCTTTTTGTTTCGAATATTGTGTACTTTCATTTGAAAAAATTTTTTTTGTATTTAATGGCTCTGTTTTCTAACTCTCCTTTCTTTTTATTTTTAAGTTTAAAAATTGTCTATCTTCTGAAGCAATGCTTAATTTTTTTTTATATCTTGCTTAATAGAGTTAAAATCCTTTATTTCTTTTTTCTGTGTAATTTATTTATTGAACTGTTTTTTTTTTATTATTATTATTTACAATTAGAAAATTCTTAATATTTTAATAATTAACTTTAGTATTGTAAATATTTAGGAAATATTTCTTAAGCTGTTGTAACCATTTTGGTATGTTATGTTTAAATGCTCTTACCCTTTTATGCTTTTTTTTTTCTTTTCTCCAAGCTTTGGACATGTGCCTAGGTCCATATAGCTTGGGCTATATGGACCCTTTACCATATAGCCCAAAGCTTGGCTACTGGTCCGGCTCCACACCAGCCTAGGAATGAACCCAGTCAGCAAAAATTTATTGAGAATTTAGATACATACAAAATCCTTTTATGCTATAAAGTTATATGTATTTACACCAGATATTTGCAGCATTTTTGATTTTAAAACTTGTACTTTGTCTTTTACCAACTTAAAAATGAGCCTTTAATTTAAGTAAAAAAATAAAAACTTTTAGAGCCACTCCTATACTATAATTTGTTTTAACCTCCAACATTCTGAGCATTAATTTAAAAAAAATTTTGTTACAACTATTTTCAATCCTTCTTCTAAGTTTACTGAATAATTTTTTCCATTCTTGCATTTATATTTGTTAAACATTTAATGATTCACTATGTTCTATATTTTTCCTGTTATTGTTGCTAATAAATTATAATTTTTAATAAAATTTTTAATTTTAATATGCATGATTTTTCTTCATCTTTTTCATTTATTTTATTTAATTTTTTCCATATTTTTCATGATCAATTGTGTTTGGAGGTTTTCTTAATACAAAATCACTGAAACAGTTTCTCCAAATAACCTTGGATTTTCTTTATTTAAAGTAAATTACATTCAAGTCCAACAAAACAATGTTCAAGTTACAATTAAATTTATTTAGGGATATTTGCAGAACTAAAAATATATTTTAAAAATATCATATACATTAGCTTAATTCAAACTAGTTTTAGAAAAATTTTCAAAAATAGTTATTTTTTTAAGGCATTGAGAAATGATATCCTCTTTGCATTTTTTTATTTGCCTATTTTTTCAAAAATTTTTGTTTAGAGTGAAATTTTAGTATAGTTTTTTGTTTAATTGTAAAAATTCAAAGACTTTTTTTTAAAAGAACTACATTACTTTAAAGTATAATTTATCATATGCAATATTTCTAAAAAATATAGATCTGATATTTGAAACAAACTTTAAAATTTATGAAGTTACAAAATGTTATACTTAGAAATGGTAATTTTAAATTTAATCATTTGATATCAATATTAAACAATATAAAGCAAGGACTTTAATAAATGAAGGGAATAATTAGTTTAAATGAATAAAATAGTACCTTTTTTAAAAATGCAACCAGATTTA